CTCCTGTACGGCCTGTGCGTCTCGTTCCAGGCGCTGCTGGTGCACACCCCTGAGACCGTGCGGCTCAAGTACTTTGTCAACCTGCTCCTGCGGAGGGGCAAGCCTGTGATGCTGGTGGGAAACGGCGGGGTGGGGAAGACCGTGCTGGTCGGAGACACCCTGTCAGCACTCTCCGATGATCACATGGTCTCCAAAGTGCCCTTGAACTACTACACCACGTCCGCCATGCTGCAGAGTAAGACTGGGAGCAGGGAGGCATGGAAAATCTGTTTTTTTAAGACAACAGAATTGAGATCGGGCTAGCTTTGTGTTTCATTGTCTCAGGGGTCCTGGAGAAGCCCTTGGAGAAAAAAGCTGGCCGAAACTACAGCCCTCCAGGAAACAAGAGGCTGATCTATTTTATTGATGACCTCAACATGCCGGCAGTGGACACCTATGGCACAGTGCAGCCCCACACTCTCATCAGACAGCACCTGGATTACAAGCACTGGTGAGGCTGCTTTCCTGTGGGAGCCGCTGTGCATCAGAAGACGTTTATCAAAACACAGGCATCTGAAAGTGTGGAACACTAATTGGAGATTAGATTGCTCTCCAATTTTTTTAGCCTGCAGTGACGAGATGGCAGTAATTCCTGGCAGTTCCTTCCTCTGTCAGCAGTGCAGTGTCGTTCAGGATGCAGGACTGTATCTGCAGCACATGGAGCACATTGGCTGTGCAGTGCTTGGACGTCTTATGAGGTTCAAACACATCTGCCACCTAAACTCTATGGGAAAAGTTTCACTTTTACCAGAATGAATAGTGTTATTTTTATACTACTAATAATAATCTGCTTAATAATCTTTTTTCCTCCCCCCACCTCTAGGTACGACAGACAGAAACTAACTCTTAAAGAAGTTCACAACTGTCAGTATGTGGCCTGCATGAATCCCACAGCTGGGAGTTTCACTGTGAATTCAAGACTGCAGGTACTTGTGGTGGGGAGAGGGTGGAGGACACATCTGTGGGACTTGTTCTGGAGTAAAAGGTGCTGTGCCGTTTCCTCACAGAGACATTTTGCAGTGTTTGCTGTCAATTTCCCGTGTGCGGAGGCTCTGGACACCATCTACTCCCAGATCCT